TATCAAAGAAGTGCTGAGCTTCAAGTGCAAGTTTCATCAGCGTCCCTGCAGGGCCCGAGGGTAAATCCGACCACTCAGCTCAGTTTTACAGTGAGGTCTGGGGCAAGCTTCAGGACTTCCGTCTGGGGAGAAAAATAGTCTGTATCTCCCACCGGAAGCAAATGGGTTGTCCTGATCCTAAATCGAGGTACAATACCAGTAAGGGACTGTTGAAAGTTTGATAAATTAAATTCAAACATCTCCAATGACATTTTGGTGCCTCGGGTAACGAAACCTTGTCATTTCTCTGACTCGAGGGAGAGGGCTTATCACTTTCTCCTTCTAAGGACACTCCTCATGACATACTGAGAAAAGCACAGTGCTTTTACATCTCTAGTATGTTGATTTCTGTAAAAGAAAAACAAAACACCGTGTGTGCTCATTTGTGAATAAACAGGACAGTGGAAATTGGTGAGCTTAGTACTTACGGGGAGGAGCAAGACAGACAAACGGACACAGGGTGAGGGTGTGAGTTTGCTTTTAAAATAGTTCTGAACTCTAGTTCCACGTGAAGTTTCGTATACTCAACAACCAACAAAGCAAAAAGAGAAAAATTTGATACTCCTTTAGGAAAACCGAACCTTGCCTAAATCGGCATGGTGGCAGGAATGGGCAGTAAAGGACATACATAAAAGGCGTAGCTTCAAAAGTTTTCTTTTTAAGGAAACTGCCACAAACTTGAATTCTACTGTCTAGAAAAGGAGAAATGGGTAAACCTTCCTCATCCTTAGAGATCTTTGAAGAAGACATAAACGTGTCTAGGTGATCCCAGTAAATAGGTGATAGGTGAGAATACTCTTTAAAATTTTTTTATTTAATTTATTATTATTTTAAATTTGACCAGAGAAGACAACAGAAAGAGGGAAAGTGAGAAAGCAAGCAGCCAGGTCTGGGACTCAAACCATGGTCAGCCATGTGGAATCCAGCGCCTTTAACCACCGTGCCACCTGCCGGTCCCCATGAATACTCTTTAAGGGTTGTGGGACATCATCAGATCTGGATCCAAGCAAGTGCTAAAGCAAGTATTTGTCTTGGAATCTTGCATTCTTCTTTCTGGCCTTCTCTTTCTTCTTTAGACCTCTATGTTTAATTTCCTCAACCCATCTCCATCCCGATTACGCCTGATAAGGCGGGAGTCTAAAGAACCTTTCATTCTATTCAGTACATGAAAGTCTTGACAGTCTAAGCACATTCAGTGTCCAAGACAAGTGTTTTTTTTTTTTTTTTTTTTTTTTTAATAAAGGAAATAGCTATAATTACCTCTGGGAAAAGAGCTGGAATGATTTGAATCCAGCATAGTTTGCAATTGAAATATATGCTCACATTCTCACGGGCAGAGTCCAAGACCAAACTGGTTTGCTGACATGCAGTGAAAAATCCTGAGTAGAGTTGATTTTGTTTTCCCCACTCCATGAAGTTGGAATGAATGTGAAGTCCTGGGAAGAAACATTTAGCTCAGAGAAGGTGGGGTGTCCTGAATCTAGTAAACATGCAAATTGGTCATGTAGGTTCCGACACAACTTGTTCCCCTAAACCAATAGTACCATTCTGGGTTAATCTGGATACCTTCCCAAGCAAGTAGTCCTCAACTCACTGCATTATTCCGAATCGCTTTTCTAGGCTGGAAGTCCTCCGCCCAGGATATGTCTTACGTGGAAGCTGCCCTGTCGCTCACTGTTATTAGCACTGGAAGTAAAGAGAAATTTGTCAAGACACTCACCCTATGGCACTGGCCCTGAACATTTCATTCTTGTCTTTATTTTTAGCAATGACATCAGCTGGGTTAAATTTTGGTTTCTAATGAATCAATTCTATTTATATCATCCCTACTAAATATGGCAAGTGGATTTTACATTACTCAATCTACAGCTTTTAGTGCTTAGCAAGCTTATCTTTTGATCTTCCAAGCTGTTTAGATATTTAGCAGGATGGGAAAGGGCTGCCTCACTTATTAATGGCATATTTAAAGAGCAAATTTCAGAGAGATTATTAAAGTACTATGCATCTTTTCCTCTTCAAAATTATAACTGTCTTGCATAAATGTGTACATCATAAATGTTTTTTCTAGTCCTAAGCTCTTTTTTTTTTGTTTTTGGAGAGATTTTCACTATAGGGCACGTGCACTCGCCAGACAGAGAGAGACACAGAGACAGAAAGCGAGAAATCACCCCCCAGGGGGGATGGTCACGCCGCAATCCCTTCTCCTCCATTCTCCTCTCGGGATCTTGGGCACGCACGCACACACGCCCAGCGTGAGTTTTAAGCCACCGGGTCCGGGACACGAACCGCGGTCGACTACGTGGGCGTCCAGCGACATAGCCATTATGCTAACTGCTGATTCCCTCTAGTCCTAAGCTCTTGAAAACTAAGAAGTACTGAGCCAGTACCATGGCCTAGCGGTTAAGTAAGTGGATCCCACATGGTCAACTGCACGGTTCAAATCCTGGATCTGGCAGCTTGAATACTGGGCTTGTGTGCATGTACTTAATTCCAACGGGATGGAGAAATGGAGAAGGGACTGCGGCCTGACCACCCTCCATTGCAGCGCTTCCTCTTTCTCCCTCTCTCTCTTCTCTGGCTCTCCCTGGCCAGTGCACATGCCTTCTGGCAAATTAAAAAAAATAAATAAATAAACAAGACTAGAAAGAGATGCACTGTAGTAACTACAGCTCCCCAGAACCCCCTCTTTTCAGACCTGAGCCGTGTGTTATGATAAACAGTCCCTGAGGTGTCTGTCTTCTGGCAAGAACACATTCGTTTAGATGTGAGGCTGTACAATTCCTACAGGAAAGAATTGGCATGAAAATTAGAAATGTTCATTAACAACAAAAATTACATATGTGGGAGTGAAATGGGGGCAACTTGACTCAGAGCCTGAAAGAAATTCTGTAGATTTAAATACCAGTAGCTGAGCTTAAAGCCAAGAGAAAAGGGGTGATGAACTCACTCATAGCAGAATAAATGGGAAACTCAGAAGTTGTTTAATTGGCTTTCACTCTTCTCCATCCAAATTTACTGCTAGAAGGGCCAGCAGGTGGCATGGTGATTATGGCGCTGGACTCCCACATGGCCTACTGTGGTTCAAATACTGGACCTGGTGGCTTCCTCACTTTCCCTTTCTCTCTGTCATGCTCTGGTGGGTACACATGGTCTATTGCAAGCGTGAATACTAATAATAAATAAAATAAAAATAATTTTTAAAAATTACTGCTATAGTTTCTGCTTTGCCACCTTGACATTTTGGTTTTTCTGAAGTGGGTGGCATATAACAAAGGTGCACTTCAGAGATTAAAATGTGCCTCCTGAGACGTTTCCAAATGGCACTGCATTTTCCTGGCAGAGTGTTTGTTTCCTCCCTCTCCATTGTTTATTTACGTGAAGTAGAGAAGGATAAGAAAGCAAGACAGAAAACTTGGGGGCGGAGGGTTTGTCTGGAAAATTCCCAGGAACAAACAACTGACAAAAATAACACCCTCCGAATCAGATAGGTCGTAGGGAGAATTATGATTTCCACGTTCAAAGACTCTTTCTTTCTCTTGTGTAAACAGAGCTGAGAGCTGGTTTGAGCCAGTTCTGTTTTCAATGCTCAAGCAACAATTGAAACTGCAGTGTGACTGCAGGTGCAGGCTTCGCCACTGATGCATGGGGACGTGGCTGTGCTTCCATGCACTCGGAGGCTGGGAGGGAGAGCTTGCCAAAGGAGTGAAGTTAATTTAAATGCAGAAGGCACGTGGGAGAGCTCCCTATCCTGGTTGCTAACCACATTCCCAAGTTTCTAGGACATCCATTAACATCTCTGCATTTGTTGAAATTGGTCACAGTTACTAACAAGGTTTTAGAAATTAATTAGCTCACGAGTTGGAAGATTACCCTGTAGGTAGCAATGCAGGATCTCTGGGCTGTTTCTCTTCAGGTGCGTGATATTTGACCATGCATGTCTTGTTTTGAGAAGGAAAACAGAAATTGGTGCCTAATTCTCTGTGCGTTTTGAAAGGCATGGGAACAAATACTGATTACAGTAGAGAGTAGGGGCTGATAAATGTGTGGAACTTGTTTCAGAATGGACACTGGAAGGAGTCCAGCACAGCGGAAAGGACGTGTCTGGGCCACGTCTGGGAGTTTGGACAAGCAAGTTCTGTGTGTGCACCACTGCCACCTACACAGTAGTAGCGTGGGCTGTTTGCCACCCTCTCCCTGCACAGGACGTGGATTATTCACGCTGTGTCACCCAAATCCTTGGGAATGACAGGGACGCAGAGACGTGAACAGGCAGTTCTCCCTCTCACCCACCCGGCTGCAGACCTGTCAGACGCCTCCCATGTATGTTGTGCAGGTCCACGTTTGCTCTGCCTTGTCCTCCTGGGTGCCCTCTCCCTGCCCGCACCTGTCTAAGTGGGCCCCTGTTGGGACTTTTCACTTGATCCATCTGGGTTGGCAGTTCTCAGCCAGGCTTCTGACACAACTTTCACCACATGGACATAGGTGTGGAGCAGTGGGAATGAATTCCAAACGGCTGGAATCACACCAGCTATGTCTGGATTCTTCCCGGAAGCTGCTATGTGGGAGGCGAAGCCGGGAAGATGAATCGCTACTAACGTGCCGTGGCCTAGCTGACCACTAGGTGACCACTGCTCCAGTCCAAGGATAGTTCAAGGGACGGGGCCAAGCTGCAGAGGCTTGTACTCGGTTTAACCCACCAACATTAGCAGAACACTCAGGCACTTGGGGAGAAAACGGTTTGGTTGTGACCTAAGCAAAACTTTTTAAAATGGAGTATTTTTGTTGTTTTATAACAATTTACAAAAGAAGAAACCTGACAATGGGGCAGGGAGGCAGAGTCCAGGCTTCATTCTGTTCATAGAAGTGTTCTCAGAAGCTTGCACAGAGTTAGAAATACAGAACTGTGTGAGAGAAAACTGGGGAGGACTTGTAAGGAGGCCTGAGTGGGCAGTGACATTTAGTCATATTTTATAATACATATATTATATCCAAGTACGATAGTCGTTTGTACCATTTCCCAGGGAGACATGGCTGTTTCCAAGGCAGGGCCAGGGCATGGGGCAGCGCGGGGGCGGGGTGGTGAAGTGCGGGGCTGGGCCTGGCTCACAGAAGCTGCAGGAGCTTCAGCGACTGTAAGAGGGCCGCAGGTTC